TTTCTTCAAACTCTTGTTGGGTTACTTCAACGTTGAAACGCAGATCTCCCTGAATCTCCGTTATGAGTTTATAACGCAAAATGGAAGAACGCTGTTTCACTTCTCGAACTGTGTTTCGGCGAGTCCAAGAAACATCTCAAGACACCGTAAACGTCAGATAAGTTATCTTAAACAACTGACTGTGAGGAAGTCACGAACAAACAGACACGCTCCTCATTTAATGACTTCATATCCAGGTCTGAACCCTGTTGCTGCGTCCCCTCGAGGACCCGACAATCTCCGGATGTCAGGAGACCCCACGTCCGCCTGTCGATTCTCCGTCATGGCCATTGGAGCGCCATCTCTTGCTCCGGAAGGTGGAGTAGTTCGCGTCGGACGTCGGGCAGTTCGTCGTGGCTGTGGTCGGGTCACCAACGCCCATCTGCAGTGGAAAGCGCATCGAACCTACAAGAATGAAACACAATGCAAGACAAGCCTCGTGGCTTGTGCAGTCATGTAGTTGGCCACAAACGTCTTGGAGGAACGTGTCATCTCCATTTCCAGAGCAGAAACCGATACATTCCCCTGAAACGCCTACAAAACTACATGACGTCACAGCCCAGACAAACAACAGAAACAATGCATGGAAAAGTTAAAATTAAACAATCAGTAAACTCATAATTATTACAAATCATAAGATATACGAATTAAATATACAGGATAATATTAAAAAATCATTGATACAGGTGGATGGAGTTTGTTAATTTTTTATTTTCGAACGGTATCAGTTACAAAATAACAGGGACACATAACTTTTACGAGGGACGCGGTTATGGTTTGTAAAATGTGGTAAGGGCAATTTCAACCATTGCATATCAGACGTGTTTCAGCAGAATCGGTGGTTCCTGTCTGAAGTATCTTTCTGCTCAGTATCCGCTGTCTATGGCTTATTCTAAGAACATTACTTATGTATCCTACTTTAGAAGCTGTAACGTGCTACGGGAAGGCATATCTGGGTTTGATTCCCGGATATGACACTGAGGTATTCCCCCTCGCCAGTGTTCGGGGGCCCGCCTGCCCCAGACTCCGCTGGAGTTAGAGCTGATCTGTCTCTCCGAGGTTCAGAATGCGTGGAGCTTTGCCTCCGCGGCGAAAGCTTTACCTTCTACTTTGCAACATGGCAGAAAGTGCCCACCGTGAAGTTCTCTGAAGCTCTAAAGTCCAATCGCCCGCCTCTACGCAAAGGGTTTCCTTCCTCGAGACCGCAACCTGGCGTACAACACGGGGTGCGTGCGTTCCATCGACGGTAATAGCATCAGTTCGAAATATGAGTCTGGAAAGGGGGCACATTTCAGAACATTGCTTCTGATAATAAAACCAAAAACATGCACATAACAGTCCTGAGTCTTAGAACGTAAAACACATTGCACGTGACGAAATTTCCTTTTAAAAATGGCTGAATTTAGAAGTAAAATTTTTAAGTTCGGTTTTTTCGGTGACCGCTGATTCGAATGGGACACAGACCCACGGAAAAAATCACAATGCAAAAAGTAAAACGAGAAACACAAATTTAGTTTCTTTGTAGTTTATTTAACCACGCATTTTCAGTAGCTCAGACTAGCCGTTGCTAGCTCTGACGAATGAACTGACGTTTAATGAAGAGGCAGAGATACGGAAGGAAACAATTTTGGCCTAATTGTGGGTACTAACCCAGTCATTTGACTGGATGGACCGAGAAAAATAAAATTAGCCTCATTCAGGATGGGCGACATATGAACCCGGGACCTCCCGAAGACGTAAGCGAGAGTGCCAACCACTCTGTGTTATGACTCAAAAACGAAAGACACTAAAATTTCTCTTTTCTCTGTCTTTTAGTATTTGAATTCTGTCAATGTCGTATGGTTCTTGTCCTTAGATTTTTCTAGGTCGGAGTTCACGGTCTACCTTCGGCTTTCGGGCGTCGAATGCTGATAAATAACCATCTGCTTGATGATGTTAGACGTGCGACACGCCATCTGGACCCCTCATTATTCACACAATTCATTTCACAATAAAACACAACGAGGCTTCTATACGTATTATCATTTCACAGACCTGTTAGAAACCTTGTGGCGGTACAAATACCAGCTGTCCATTAATTAGTTGGGCAGTGAGACAAGGCCTCAGAAAGCTGCCTAATCACATCACGCTACTTGTTAAGGCAATATTTATCGATAAGTTAACTGACGATCGAAGTCTTCGGCGTGACGACCCATTAATTAATAAAAAATTTAAATTTTTATGTTGACACAGACTTGAGTTAAAAA